GACGAAACATGCCTTCAGTCGAGATAATCACTCCATCAGATCCCGAGCAAAGAGGTTGTCAGTTATCACTCATTTTCTCCGTCCCTCTGACTCCAGTCCAGGAAGAGATGCAAAAGCGAGGAGTTGTCGTAAGACTTGATTACTTTTTGTGGTTTCATAAGTGTATGACAATTACTATAATTACAGTGCGATATCCGAATGCCGAGTGTCATGAGAGTGGCTCCCGTTCCCCTCTATAACTCCTTCACAGACGTCCATAAGTTTGTTAGAATTCTATACGAAATATTCCTCAGCTTTGACACCGAGAAGAGGAAGTTTGACACTCAGATGTCTAATGAAGATCTTATGACCGAAATCCATGGCGGAGATTCCGACGGTCTGTCCCTGAGCTCATCCAACAGCAGCGCCTGTCCCTCACCCACCACTGTCTCCGACTCAGAGCCCGACTTCGTTAGCGCCACAAACAGACACTTTATTAACGAATAGACAGACCGTGTGATTCCCAAACCTATCAACACATATGAATAGCTCTTATAAATGCATTTGAATAACCAGTGAATATAATAATGATAATAATAATTACAGTTATTTATTACAGTATTATTAATATTACTCTATTTTTTAAAGTGTTCGCTCTTTTCATTGACTCTAAATTGTAATCTTATTTAATAATTATTATAATTATTATTAGATTTAATTAGATGCTTATTTTAATTATTTTAATTCTTATAATTAGATGTAATTCGTTAAACATTTACTTTTTCAGTTAAACATTAACTATTATTTCAGTTTTATAACAAATACAGTATATTATGTTACTATTTTTATATACACATTATCAAGTTAGAATAGCAATTTTTTCAAATAGTTAATTTGCTAAGAAATGAATACTTTACAAAATATACACCTATTTTGCACCCTTCTATTTTTATGTTGATTTGACCCTAAAGTTGTGAAACTTAAACAATACTTTCCATTATGTAATAAAACCATTTAATTCTTTCATCATTTATCAAATAAAATAATTTTTATTCAAAAACTCATTATAATTTTTACACATTACAATCAATTCTAAAATATTGATTGTACTATAATTTGCACTATAATTGTACTCAAAACTAACTGACATCATATCAGTATCTTACAGTTCATATTTTGATAATTCAATACATGTTAATAAAAATTAAATACAACATTAATGAGTTTTGCAACAAATGTTTTGATACTTATATGGAATTATTAGGACTGTCCTAACTCCAATGGAAATTTTGTTCATTCAATTAAGATATTATTTAAGTTTTAGTCAAACTTTTTAAAATTGCATAACCAGTAACTTATGCTATTTAGGGATTTAAAAAATATAACTTAACCAAAAATTTAAATATTATAATAAAGGTATTCGTAACTATATCATTTTTAACATGATTATCTAATTTTCATATATTAATATTTATATAATTATGAAATTATATTTTAATTAAAAATACTGTATAATAT